ATTTTTAGCAACCTATACGTGGTATAACGTTTTATTATTTATAACGAATTATTATTATTATTATTAGAACAATTATCATAACATTTTTAGCAACCTATACGTGGTATAACGTTTTATTATTTATAACGAAAATGGTGAACTCTTGCAATAACCAATTTTTATAAAGACTTCAGTGTTCTATACTAACAGTGAATCAAATTAGGAATATCGTGGTACTTAGTTGATAGATATGCTGCTTTATTAATCATGCATCCATTAGGACAGAAAAATGACATACAACTTTTGTTTTTCTTTTATTCTCCGAAATAACTATTTTTTTTTTTCAATGGTCACTGCTATTCAATTCCTAGGCCTTCAGTAGGGTCAAACTGACAGAGAAAATATGTACAATACTAAAATCACACTTCACATTATTCACTCTCTTTGTACTGGGCGAAACAACGTAACGTAAAGTGTATTTTTGTAATATTAAAAACTTTTAAAAACGTGGTTTTATGTATAGGACCCTTTAATATATTATCAGTATTATGAACATAACTGCGGGGAAATCTTCCCTTTTATTGCACTGAACATACATACAATCATCTATCATCTAACTAGTTATTTTTAAAAACTAAATGCGCCAATTGATATAGGTACTCTTCGGCAGACCAAGATTTGAATCCGGTTCTTTCAATACAAAGTTATTTGATTGAGTGGTAGGGATCAATTAATTCATTACTGAATTCTAGTAGTTGTATCATCGTTCTTGTTACTATATCATTATATAGAGTGGACCAAAAGTACCGGAATGGCAGGATATCAGGGAATATTCAATGGGTAGGGTAAAAGTAAAGCACTCGGGATTTAAGCTTTTTCCCTGGCTATCCAATGGTGACCTTGAATTTGACCTGGACCATGACTTTCAAAGCAATATCAAGGTCACAAGAACTTTTTTAAGTGGGACTCCATAATTTTGACCTCGGAAATGGAGAGAGTGGAAAAATTTACGTTCGGATATGACCCTGAAAATACCATGAAGGTCAAGATCAAGGTTAAATATCAAAAAGTCCCAAAGTGGCCCAACAGCAATAACCAGCCAGGAAAAATGTTCTCTACAATAATTGTAGGACTCTTAATGGGCATTAAACCGGTGACCTTGACCTCCGCCTCAATTTTCTTATCCTCCGGTCATTTCAAGGTCAAGCCACCTTCGGTTATTAGAGGTAACTAAAGGCAACAGTTGGTCACTGTTGGTCAACAAATGTAAAAGGCGGTCATTGAAGATTAACAGTGGTCACCGAGGGTAACACACGGTCTTAGGCGGTCAATAGTAGTCATCGAGCGTAACAGAATAACCAACCTGGATAGCCAGGAAATAATCCTAAACCTCTAGTGCTTTACTTTTACCCTAACCCTTCAATAGTCCTAGATATTCTGCCATTCCGGTACTTTTGGCCTACCCTGTATAGTGTATATATACTGTCATTGGCAGTATAAAAGCAGTTTTCTGCGTGTAGAAGTTTTTTTATCAACAAAATGTACTATAATTCTCTTTTTTATGAAGAAAGTCTTGTTCATCGCACTCGTACATTTTTAAATAAACATTTCATTCTTTAATTCAATTTCACTTTTGCTTGACTGTTCAGCGGTATATAAAAATTGAAACTGGAAATGACAGTGATTGCTAAGAATTCCACATAAATTGATATTAAAACTTTATAAAAACACAATATACCATATTAATTTCATTTATATTTTATTAGCGATCCAGACTACCTGAACATAAATGAAGATTCCATAATATTAGGCATTCTCCCACTGTTCCACGTTTTTGGACTTCTACTAATGTACGCATATTTGTGGCTTGGAAAGAGAATAATATTTTCCCGAAAGTTTAAACCGGATACTTTTTTAAAATCGATTGAGAAATATGAAATTAGCTACCTCGTAACAGTTCCACCATTATTACTCTTTTTAGCAAAAAGTCCTCTTGTAGACAACTATGACATAAGATCTATAAAGCATATTTTCTGTGGAGCTGCTCCTCTTGGTAAAGAAGTAGAAAATATAGCTTCGCAAAGGTAAGTAAATGTATATATTGCTTGATTATTTTTAATTGCTTTTTAGCTATTTTTGAGCGTTGTTTTGATTTTGCCAAACAGTATTTATCAAAATCAAATAACTGTATAGATCAAACTCACTGTATCTATAAATATTTCAATACTTTCAACAGAAACTGAATTAGTTTCAAACTCGGGTGAATTTGATAAAACAGTTAGAATTGCACAGTTCCACAAAAAAAGAGAGCGGCAGTCCGCAGATCAGCCCAGTATATCTAATGGTGTTTTGAAGCACTGAATCCGAATTTAATCAGAAGTCCAGGAATGGTTCGTGTTTTGACCTTAATATCAGGAAACTCTTCTAGAAAGTATTCAGTGATTGGAAAAAAATTGGCATTCATGATATCATTGTACCGCAACTTCACAATCCCGCAATCCTATAACTGCGTAACCCAATAACCCCATATTTCCATAATGTATGTGCGGGGTGTGCGAAGGTGTAGAACTATTCACTCTGTGGAAATATGAATCTCATACATCAGGAGGTCCGAAACTGCATAACTAACTTAGCAAGCTTCAATAACCACACAACCCCTTAACCAGGATGTGTGAAGACGTAAACCACGAAAATCCTTCTGATTACGAACAACTTGGGACATGCAAGCTCTGGTAGCTCATGATCTGGGGCTTACAGATTGTGTTACAAAGATTTTTTTCTCTGCGCATCTACAACGAAAAGGCGTAATTACACCTCTTTGTTTATGATCATGAGTTTTTACGATAAAAATCATTCAAATAACAAAATCCATAGTATAGTCCAGGCAAGTTAGACCAAAATCACCCAGAATACGGAAATTTTTTTCTGATGAATCGATCGAGTTGCGGCGGCGGAGTGGGGGTAACGCTACTTACTTTCAAAATTTTCATTATCTCGACTTCTGAACCACGTACAAAAAGAGAAGAAGAATTGAAACATAAACAGTTCGTAAATATAATTATTCTACTAGACCAGGCAAGTTAGACAATAAATCAGAAATTTTTTTCTGATGAGCCGATCGAGTTGCGGTTTTCGGCATTGTCTTCGGAAAACTATCAAGAAAAAATCTATATATTACACTTTGGGGCTGGATCGAAACTGCATTGCGGGTGCATAAAGTGCATCTTGGAGTGCATCAGTTTTTCCGAATTTTCTAAAAATGATAAAAATTCACTAAAAGTTGTAGAAATTTGTGTGCACGGGTTTTCGGGGTCGGAGATTCCGAATCTGACCCTGAAAAATATGCCCAACGGCCCTGGGGGCCCCCCAGGGAGGGCAAGCGGAGGCCTTCTGTAAAACATCGAATAGCTGAATAATTGCCTACTAAATCCCCACTCGGGGGGTTTTTGGGGTCGGGGGATTTCGATTCTGACATTGAAACGTATGTCCGACGCAAGGGGGGTCCTTCTGTAAAACATCGAATAGCTGAGTAATTGCCTTCTAAATTTCTACTCGGGGGTTTTCGGGGTCGGGGATTCCGAATCTGACAATGGAAAATATCCATTAGTCTTAGCTTGTCTATCACTGAGAAAAATTATCGTAGAATTGGAGAAATCCTGGACAATCCGTTCCCAAGAGACACATTTCGTTAAATCAAAGAAATATTCCTTAAAACCGAAGAATATTTCATTGATCATGGATTTTCAAACAAAATCTCTTGGGCCCGTGCGACTGCGGATAATGCATAACAATTAGGCGACAAAATCCGATTATCGACAATGCAGATCTTGCGGGTGCAGGAAGCATGGAATTACATGCACAATTGCATGTACAAATTGTTTTGGAACCAACTGTTCCAATCCTGAAATAGTCGAAAATATAATAGATGATAGTGATGGAGACAGTGATGGCAATACTGATGATGAAAATTGTGATTGATAGTGAAAGTGTTAAATAAACATATGATAGTAGTTGTCTCACTAATTGCCTTGAAAATAAAAAGAAAATTGGTTCTCAGAATAAAGGGGATTCTTTTCGACTCATTAATTTCCTGTTAGTTTTTCTTACCCTACTTGTCTACTCTCTGTAAATGTACGTGTGTTACAATGTAAAGATAAGCCTACAAGATCATGGTTGGTAAGCGGGTGGAGCAGTTTTATTGCAAAAATCTGATGTGGCTGGCTCTCGAGTTTTCCAGAATGCCTACCCCACGGGCGTCAGGCATACTTTTCAGTGTTAGAATCGGAATTCCCGACCCCAAAAACCCCAGTGGAAATTTAGAAGGCAAATTACTCAGCTATTCGATGTTTTACAGAAGCCCCCCCCCTTGCCCCCCCTGGGGCCTCAGGGGCGTCAGGCATACTTTTCAGTGTCAGAATCGAAATCTCCGACCCCAAAATCCCCCAAGTGGAAATTTAGATGGCAATTACTCAGCTATTCGATGTTTTACAGAAGCCCCCCTTGCCCCCCCTGGGGGCCCCAGGGCCGTCGGGCATATTTTTCAGGGTCAGATTCGGAATCTCCAACCCCGAAAACCAAATTTCTACAACTAGTCAATTTTTACCATTTTTAGAAAATTCGGAAAAATTGATGCACTCTAAGATGTACTTTATGCACCCGTAATAGAGAGATTTTTTTCCTGATATTTTTCCGAAGACAATGCCGAAAACCGCAACTCGATCGGTTCATCAGAAAAAAATTTCTGATTTATTGTCTAACTTGCCTGGTCTAGTAGAATAATTATATTTACGAACTGTTTATGTTTCAATTCTTCTTCTCTTTTTGTACGTGGTTCAGAAGTCGAGATAATGAAAATTTTGAAAGTAAGTAGCGTTACCCCCACTCCGCCGCCCGCTACAGTAAGCTCGCACCGCTCTCGAATGCTTCGGTTTAAGTCTTTAACTTGAATTTCTGTAAGAATAGACGCTGTAGGACTTAAACAGCGGCCTGTCGAATTTCTTGAAAACAAAAATATCTCGACTCCAGAAGGTTGCAACGTTTTTTTTTTAATTCGCGTAAAAATGCCAGCAATCAATTCCTGTAACAGACATAATCGAGAAATGAAAATCGAAAAAAACATTCATTCAAGAAAAACGCGATGAAAAAATTTTTACTTTTTTTCAGGCACTTTCATTCTTTTTTGGGCACTTGAAATGAATCAAATCTTTTTTAACATGAAAGTACAACTCTTAAGGAAAAAAAATAGCCCTGATTCGTTTCTCTACGACTATTCGTCGAGCAAGAAGAGACGATTTTTGAGATGACCTTTTTTTCAAAAAATTGATATAACTCATTTACAGCAAGTAACAAGTTTCAAAACCTTAATTTGTAAGAGATACAGCAAAAACAAAAAAAGTCGATTTTTGACGGTTTTTTTCGATATATCTCGAAAAGTAATATAACAATCGATAAAAATACCAATCGATAGGTTTTTTAATAGATACAACTTTCTCATTTAACTTTTTTCGATTGTAGAAGTTTATTTTATTAGCGAAAAACCGACTTTTATGAATTTTTTAGGTTAACTTCGCCGTTTATGTGCCACAGGAAAAATGTACTATCTTCCTTAATTTTTTTCCTATATTACCATATTTTTTGTTTCTAGGTTGTATTTTTTGTAAATTTAACATTAGACTGTGACATATTGGTTGGACTACAATCCCGCTGTTTGAACGAAAGTGGAAATAATAAACGAGTGAAAGTTGGCCACTTAAAAATATCTACTTTTGCTAAAATATGAAATATAAGTACCTACATGTAACAAGCGTTTTGAAATGAAACAAGGTTCCTGTTTCCCGATCAAAAGTAACAAATTTCTTAGATTTTTGGATGCAGTCCTTAAACTTTTTATTTATATAGTGCCAGGCGATGACATTTAAATATACAATTGAGGTCTAGAAACAAAATTTAAATTAATATAATGGGTTCATAAAGATTATCTATCCATCGTAAAAAAAAGCGAGATCATTTTGACCGCAATACTCATTTGAATTTTGAACACCACCAGATTTTTTGTATTAAAATATAAAATTATCAAGTGTTTTGTTTCATTAACATGTAAAAGAAATTTTCGTATGCCCCTAATAGTCTCTATTAGATTACTTCATGCTATAAAGAAAGTGATAATTTCAGATTCAAAATTCCGATTTGTCAATTATATGGTATGTCGGAATGTGCAGCAATAACGATCACGTCACCAAAGTATTATAAGTCTGGAAGTGTGGGAAAAGTGGTACCAGGTCATGAAGCAAAAATTATCGACCCAGAATCTGGTAATATTCTTCCTCCTACTGTAAGTGGTGAAATATGCTTTAAAGGTCCTACGGTGATGAAAGGATATATAGATAATGAAAAAGCGACTAAAGAAACAATTGATAAAGATGGATATTTACATACAGGGGATATTGGATATTTTGATGAGGAAGGATATCTATTTATTTTAGATAGGATTAAAGATCTTATTAAATACAAAGGATTCCAGGTAGGTATTTATATTTTATATGTTTTTATGTTTTATTAAATAGGTAATACTTAGACACTTAGATCAAATCTTTTATTTAACATTTTTTCTATCTCTAAACTGTACGTACTAGACATTTTTGTCCAATTTACGTTCGTAATCAGATTTTAAATAACTGAATCCATATCGGAGTGCTCATCAGATTCTGTTTCAACTTACGTCCGTAATCAGAATTGGATTGGGAACTAACTTGAAATTCTACAGTCTTATTTTTACCAAAAAATACGATTCACTTATTTTCGTCATTTGCATATCCCATCGCTCCTCACCATCCGTAAAGGTAAAATGTTCGTAAATATGATTATGATGCTGTTGAAACTTTCGATCTGTCGTTTGGCTCTGGATGCAGCGTGAAAGTTCTTCATAACGTTATCTACGAATATCAGAGGTGGTTTTACCCTTGTTGATGGTATCGTTTAAACAAAACGTGTTTTATCAAATCGGCAACTGTATAATGGTACATGTTTTTACGTTTCGTACGAATGATATTGTTCCTCTATCAGTTTATCTACAGTAGTTCGTTCTTCTAAATGACTGTCTTCTCGTAAAATCTACAATCCGTTTCTAGTTAACAATCAACGCTCCCTATTATTTCCTTAACTAACAAACTTGGACTGAAGCTGACTCCAACTCGAATATACGTAATAGTGTACTCTTCATCTACAAAAGATTATCCTATAGAAATCACAGTACTCTGACCGATCATATCCGCAACAATTGTGTGCTATTTTGCACTACTTAGAAGCAATACCAGTACTCATAAATAACTGTTTAGGTGTGCCACTGACTCACAGTCAAATTAGTAACTTTGATTGAAGTCATTTGGAATTCAATGAACAACGTTTCACTTTACGTGACGTCGTTGATAGTCTCTCTCCTAATGTCCTAACCATTTACATTTGACGTAAATCTTTTCTAAAAGATAACTAAAATTATTTTCCCCAGTACATATTTTAAACAAAAACAATTGACAAATATTTTCTTCCAGAATATGTATGTAAGTTAAATATTTTAAGTGAACCTTCAGTCTTAAATAAAATATATATAACAAACTTTCTTTGGATACTATCAATTTTTTGAACATGTATTTTAAAAAAGGATTCTACAATGTTGTCGAAGAAATAAAGTTCCGAAACAAAAGTTATGCCGTGTATGAGTGTAGATTGAACTTCGCAATCAAATGTGAGTTAGTTAATTTTCAAGGAAAACGTAACATTACATTTGCTACAAAAGGAGTTTATAAACATCATCTAACGCCTTTATTTTTTTTTGTTTTTTGAAGCAAATGAAATAGTCCCCAAGCCAGCGACCTTTTTTCGAACTGATTACAAAAGTAATGAAAACGGTCTGGATCGCTTTGTTTTAACGAGTTTACCACGCTGTAAATTTTTTAGAATATGGGAAGGGGATTACAAAATACGGAAAATCGGAAAACCTAACCTGCGATGAGCGACATGTTTTGGTTATCGGACTGGAAAAAAGCGCCTGAAAATTTGTCGGACAAGGTATGGACTACGTTTTTTAGGCAATTTTTAGTAATTTAAAATGAAAATTGGTGTTTTGTAATCGGAAAACCATACCGCGCTAGAGCGACATGTTGGAGATGTCGGACTCGACAATTGCGCCCTCTACTTAGTCGGACAACCCAATTTGCTTCTTATTTAACACATTTTCTTTTAATTCAAATAAAAAATTTGAGTGTTGTAATCACAAAAGAGAACCTGCCCAGAACGACAGGTTTAAGTACTCGCAGTGCGGACAAGCGCCCTTCCCATATTCTAAAAATTTTACAGCGTGGTAGATTCGTTAAAACGAAGCGATCCTGACCGTTTTCATGACTTTTGTAATCAGTTCGAAAAAAGGTCGCTGGCTTGGGGACTAAAAATCATTACTATTTGTAACTTTAAACATTTTAAGGTCATCAGCTATATCTCCTGGAGGCAAACAAAGAAATATACCTTCCTTAAAATTACAAAAATTACATTACACTCTATCTAAAAATGTTCGTTATATTTGATAGTATATTAGCGGATACACGCGAGGACAAGCTATCCACAATATAACGTTATTTTCTTATTTCATAACAGCGACTGCCTTAACGGAATGTACACGCGGATGGATTCGTTGTATAGACTCAATTGTATAGATTTAAATGTTCCATATGTACATCATTCAACAAGCCTATACCCTATACAATTATATTCATACTCAGTGTCCGGATATATGCGAATCTTTAAGAATTGTTTCTTTATGTTTGTTACTTTTGATTTTTCTTGGTTATTTTAAAGACTTCTTTAAAGTTTTTCGCAATGTCTCTCTGTATACTATTAATTGAAACGTAATAATAGTAGCCTATGATTTAATTATTACTTTTTATGTACTATTATTTTTTTATCCTTAATTATAGTTATGTTTTAATTATTACGTTCCTCACGCACAGGCTATTACAATGATTATATAAAACTTTATTTTATAGTTTTTAACTACTTTTTATAGTTTTATATTACTATGCTCTGCAAGTTCCACCTGCCCTATTAGAGGATATTTTGCAAAAACATCCTGATGTAAAGGATGCGGCTGTGGTAGGTAAGCCCGATGAGAGGTCAGGAGAACTGCCTACGGCATTTATTGTTCGACACCCAAATGCAGAAATTAATGAACAAGAGATAATAAACTATATAGCAGGTTTGTACGTTTTAACACGTAAACAAATATTTCAAAGTGCTTAATGATGAACTGTACGTACTGTAATGACAGTGTGGAATTATAAAAATACTACATAACTGTAAGAAAAAATCGTAGCACAAAATTTATAAAGGTATAAAGAGTAATTCATGAATATCATTTCATTTTCGTAAATCAGTTTCGGCTACAGCTTTGGTCTTATGAGTATTTCACATTTTAAGTGTTTTTGTGTAGGTAGTACTGTATAGGGCAGAAGGGACTTTGTTAATGTCCCAAATGAATGAAAATTGTTTCATTAGAACAATGAATGTTATATTTCTTTAAAACAATAATACGTCACAGTGGATGAAAATCGATACCTATACCAAAAATGGGAAAAATAAAAGACCCCGCACAAACCTTATGGGAAACTCCGTTCGGTCAATTTTAATGAAATTTTGGGAATAGGTTGTTTTTGTTATGAGGAACAAAAGTCTTCATGGACCCAAAGTTCGCTAATGGACAGTTTCCGAGATATTCGATGTTAAAAGTTGATAATGCGAATGCGTGTCAAGCACGTGTTTAAATGCTTATTAGTCGGGTAAAAGCTCCATGAAGCTTAAAAACTGTATAATTCGTATATATGTATTCGTCTAGATAGTGCGTATCCATTCGTTTGTGTGAGTGTGTTTGTGCGTGTGTGTATGCGTATACTTTTTAACAGGCTGGAAGTAATACTATAGTAATACTTCTATATTCACGTGCAATCTGGTCAGCACACTTAGCCATTCTTCTCGATCAATTATATATTTTATTTGAGTTATTATAGCGTATGTGTGTATCCAAAGTAACTCCAGAGTAACACCCAAGATAGAGTAGTCGAAACAACTTTAGGATACAGTTTCTCGTGTGTTTGTAAATCAGTATTTCAAAATATATATCGAAAAATAGCGTGGTTTTGAATATACCTACTTATACTGTTAGAAAAAATATTCTTATTTATTTAACATCGTAGTTTAGATATCCAACTGTGAGTAATCTATAGATATCGATAGCAGAGAATATTTTATGTGAAGATATTGGAAATATTATACTATTATTTATGAGTACATCAAATATTTAGAATGTTGAAAAATTGTTCAATTACCATTCACTTGCAGTTTTTGCTGTGTTAAACTCCGGATATTGCTTTGGTCATTTTTTCACAGGTGTGTTCATTTTGTAATTAGCAGTTGAGCTTGTTGCAATATAAATGGCTTTCAGACTACAAATATAATGTTATAGTTGCGATCGGGCTTTCGCCCCGCGAAATATGGTACATTTAAATAGAGTGGTAATGGTAAATGTAGATGTTTTTGAAGATATTGCTATAAATCGACGAAATGACGCAGGTCTGCCTCCAGCAATTGTTACACCCGAGACTCGAATATGTAATAATTGTTTCCAAACTATTCGTCGTGAAATTGAAATAGTAGATAGAGCAATTATTACATATTCGACACTCAGGTGTAACAGTTGCTGGAGGGAGACCTGCGTCATATCGTCGATTTATAGCAATATTTCCAAAAACATCTACATTTACCACTCTATTTAAATGAACCATATCCCGATCGCAACTATAACGTTGTATTTGTAATCTGAAAGCAATTTATATTGCAATAAGCTGAACTGCTAATTATAAAATGAACACGCCTATGAAAAAATTACCAAAGCAATATCGAGAGTATAACACCAAAAACTGCAAGTGAATGGTAATTCAACAGTAATATCAATTAAGAACTATTTGGCAATAAGTCCAACGAAACTGATATCTTTCAACATTCTAAATATTTGAGGTACTCATAAATAATAGTATAATATTTCTAATATCTTCACATTAAAATATTCTCGACATCGATAGATTGGATATCTAAACTACAATGTTAAATAAAGAAGAATATTTTTTTCTAATGGAATAAGTATATTTAAAAACACGCTATTTTTCGATATATATTTTGAAATAGTGATTTAAAAACACGCGAGAAACTGTATCCTAAAGTTGTTTCGACTACTCTATCTTGGGTATTACTTTGGATACAACCATTAGATTGTTTTCGATCATACGCTAATAACTGAAATAAAATATATAATTGACCAAGAAGAATGGTTAAGTTATCATACACACACACACTATCTAAACGAATATATACGTATTATACAGTTTTTAAGAAGCTTCATGGAGCTTTTGCGCGACTAATAAGCATTTAAACACGTGCTTGACAGGCATTCGCATTATCAACTTTTAACATCGAATATCTCGAAAACTGTCCATTATCGAACTTTGGGCCCATGAAGACTTTTGTTCCTCATAACAAAAACAACCTATTCCCAAAATTTCATTAAAATAGACCGAACGGAATTTCCCATAAGGTTTGTGCGGGTCCTTTTTAATTTTGGTCAAATATAAATTTTTCTTATTTTCTACATTACGAATGAACACGAATGTAAGAGTTTTAATAAAATATGCAATGTTATGAAGAAAATATCAATCATCAATCTTAGCTTACAATTTAGTATTTGCTGAAGCTGTGAAAATTGATATAAGTACATAGTGATTACTTAAAGTTAATGTTGATGTCATCAATGAAACATTTTTTTCTATCATCTATGAAGTAATTGGCCTATGAAAAATTGTTTATTTTATTATTTAATCCACTCATTATTTTAATATTCAAAAATTTTGTGACTATCAATTTGAATTCAAAACAGAACACACATTGTATTGTACAAAAAACTTCCATTGACTTCCGCGCTGAGACTTATTTAGCATAAAGTATATACCCACACAAACTGATGTACAAAAGGAGATGAAGCGAATTCACAGCAGATTGTATCATGTAGCACCTTATGAGGAATCACTAATCTTGTCAAGAAGTCATCTCATAAAATTTGTATATTTTCTTGTTTTTATAATTTCTCGTCATCTTTTGATATTGTATTTTGTTTTTTCTATAATTTAATATTTTATAACATTTGCTCGATTATTTTGTAAGCGTTTATTTTGTAATTTTTAAACTTATTTAAGCAATCTGAGACTACTAATATAGAAAATTAGTCTGATGAGATTAATAACTGAAAATTATTTTAACTTAAAATGAAAAAATGAAAGGAATACAAAAATAAAATAAAATTATAAAAAATAAAAAACAAAAAAAATCAAACAAAAATAAAAAAACAAAAATAGGACTGCATTTTTCCCAACATACTAGTCGTTAGTCCTGAGTGACGCTAATGGGAAGATAAATTATAAATAAATTTATACTTAATCCTCACTCAATCATATTAAATATTTTAAATATTTTATCATAAAAAATAAAATCTATATATATCTCTATAGATGTTAAATCGTGAATATGATTATTAAATATACATTATCTAAAAAGTTTGAAATTTTGGACGGCTAATTTTGCTGGGCGACGACAAAAGCTTAAATATTTTGGTAGTGATGAGTAGAGCTCGGGACTCGGTCGGATGATCATAGCCGTCGGCCTTTCGCTACAGNCCAAGTCTTAGGTGCCAAGACACGCGGCGTGGTTATGTAAGGTTGTACTACCTTGTCCAGCGACGGAGTATGATAATTCTGAAAAAATGGTTAAAAAAAATTAGTTTTCATGACGGAATTTGAGAAAACAATCTTTTGATATGTTTCTTAATATGTCAGCCTCCTTATAAATATGGTCCCCATTCAAAGTTTGTTTGGTGTATACCAAAAACAAATTAATTCCCACAAATAGTTAAAAAACTATACCCAAATTTTTAGTAAAAATTTATGTAGATCCATACATGACATACATGATTTTAATAAAGGGCTTTTTTAGATTATCAGTCGCGTAAATTGTTCCACTACATTATGTACAATTCATCATTCGATACCCTGTATAGGAATTGAATATTTAAAAATAAATTTGGAAATGTCTATATCTAAACATATTATATTTGTTTAAACTAAGATTATATTGTGTTCGTTTAGCAACTTACTTCCAATACTTCTATTTGTTTTAGAGAGAGTTTCTACAGAAAAACAGTTACATGGAGGTGTGCTATTTACCAATGAAATACCACGAACTAATAGCGGCAAAATTCTGAAGAAGGAGTTAAAGAAAGCACTACTCTAATATAGGGTGACTATATGGATTATAGTTAGTTTCTGAGATCACTAGAGTAGAAAATACAAATATTTTTGTTATTTTACGTGGCAATTAATTAATTACTTTTTGTCGATAAAATTCTAAATCATAATCACAAAAATATTAATAGTAATGTAAACACATAATATAAATTCTGTATAGGTATAAAATAATGTTTATAATATATTTGTATTTTTTTACACATCTTCTGGAAATTAATGCAAAAAATTTAGGGGTTGATAAAAATTTTCGCCATACCTATCTTTTTCAGAAAACAATGTATTGTATCGAAATTTGGTACAGGGGGTACTCAATACATCAATGGTCATTATTTGACCATCTGATCATTAGAATACATTTTTTAGGGGGTTAGGTTTTTGATAGGTTTTTCACAATGTATGTTACGTTTCATAATTACAATGTGAAATTTTATTTTAACACAAAAAAGATTTTCTTGTTAAAATATCTGCAAACGCATTGTTTTTTTAGAAAATCGCAATTAGTATACCCATTTTTCTATGAAACAGATAATTTCAAAGTTGCCTATTTTAAATTTATTCAACTGCGTGATAAATTTACTTTAAATTTAACTTAAGAACGACTTAAAATCGCAGTTTTTTTATAAATATGTTATTTCTTAAAAATCATAAAAGGAATAAAATAAACATATCCAATTTCCAGTGGGGCCAATATATCTAAATCAAAAAAATTCAGAGATATTTTAATAGCCATTATATTTCTTTCAACTGTAACATACTTACTACATACTTAACAAAGTATAATTTGATCAAACTCAAGATCAGTCGGGTCAAATTGTACTGCGAGATACGTAGATCAAGAAGAGAACCCACACGATGACGATGTTAGGAAACCTTAATAGTAGAGCACCTTCTGTGCAAAAATTTGACTTGGTTTATAGTCTATAGTAAATATAATAAGGTTTTATATTATACAGGGTGTTTGGAAAAGTTTAACAAAATTTAAGGGGGTGAAAGTAGAGCCAAAAATAGTAAAAAAACTTCTTATAAACATTGGTCCTCCGGAGCACCGTTACTGAGATATGCCCTTCCAAAGGAGTCTTATCATTTGGATATTTCTTAAAATAACTTTCGTTCTGTTTAAGATAACGAAATGAAAATTGTAGGTAATAACCATACCATAAGGGTGTTTTACTGCCATAAGTTTCATCAAAATTGGTTATAAATAAGGATAGTTTTGTAACTACTCTTAACAGAAATTTTTCGAATTTTTTTATTACTTTCAATTATCAAGCAAATAATATTATTTTTTAATAAATTAGACTTTTTTGAAGAAAAAATGTCCACTTTTTTTTCAAATTCTGCGTAGTTTAGTCAAAAATAATTATTTTTTAAATAATGTATGGCTCAGAACAGTAACATTTTTTAAAACATTTTTACTTAGTAGGTATCTTTCATAGTGACAGTTTCATGGTAATGATACTAATGATTGTCATTTTCGCATGCTATGATTTAAATTCTTCTGTTTCTTTATTTTCGTAGTTTGTGCCCAACTTCATTTCATTCGATTTTTTTGCAACCATGAACCATCATGCTTTTACTAACCGTGCATTTTCCGAAACAATTTTGCAGAAGGTTACCTTCTATCAGGTAAACGTTGCCGATACTCTTTTTGAGCCGCCAGACTATTTCCATTACATAAACCATAAATAAAATGCAAATCGGCATATTCATATCGACGACCATATTTCAGTGACGGTGCTCCGGAGGACTAATGTTTATAGGAACTTTTTTTACTATTTTTGGGTCTACTTTCACCCCCTTAAATTTTGTACTAACTTTTCCAAACACCCTGTGTATTTAAATACATGAGCTGTTGCTACAGGACAATATGCATTTCGTCAAACTGTTTTGATATTTTTGGTGAATCTTCCTTTTACAAGGTACAAGTTTTCTCAGAATAAAACTGGAATACAGTATCCCTAATTTACAATAATTTATCAACGATTTTCGATTTACATATCAAAAAAAGTCAATGTTTATTCACTTGCATATTCTATAGAATGATTAGCTCCTGAAGTTCAGAATTTGAACTCTGTTTTTCTTATGACTTTTTTATTTTTCAATAAATTTGGAACATTTTTGGTAGAAAGATTAGTTATTTAAAGCTATTTCTACTAATACATTCAATTTCCTGATAGTTACTTTGGGTGCCCCAGGGGCAAAGCATTATTGGTAGTCTTAGCTCCCAAAACCAAAACTTATCTACAGGTAAAATTAATAAAAGTGGTCTAAATTGTTTAGTTATTGGAATGAATCAATTCACTATAAAGCTTTGCAAAAGTCTTTACGATCTTTTTAGAAAAATTATAGCCAGTGAAAACATTTTTTAACTGAACCTAAATAGTTCCTACAACGGAAATAGCAATGTATAATGATGACCATTGGAATATGAAATCATTTACATATACATATTTGTATAATCAGATTATGGCACATATTTTAATAGTATGAAGATTATCACTAGTAAATAATAAACAATTGAAAATAAATTTCGACAAAAAATACCAAAATATAAAAAGAGGAAAAGAGCTTGAAAGGTGAATGTTTGGTATTCCTGTTGTGAAGCGAATTTTTAACATTTACTACTCGCTATTGACTATAAGTTGTTAACAAATTTAGTTTAATAACATGCATATTAATTATAGGGGAGACTACGGACAATCTTATAATATAACATTATTTTGGTAAGACCATCTAAGTATTCAAATTATCATAAAGTATAGCAATAATTTTGAAAACTTATTATAGAGTGATGGTCAGTTACATTGTTCGTGGGAGAAATAAATAAATGCATATACTGAAAACTGAAAACAATATAGTTAGACTCGGTTGTAATATCTTGGAATTTAGTTGTATAACCTGCTGGACAAGTTATATTATAAATCATTTTCTCCGTTAATTTTATATTAAAATGTCCAGAAAACGTAAAGGAAAAATTGGCAGATAGTTGTAAAATACATGTACTTCCAAAAGGGCTTAAAAATATAAGAGGTAATAATATATAAACTTTCGGGTTGTGCCTCGTGTCTTCAATGAGCTGTAAAGAAAGAGTGATAATTCTTGGTGGTGATGAGAAGCAAGAATTTTCAGATTTACAGAAATTAAAACGAGCCAATGAATGAGTCTAAAACTTGAAAAACTTTGAAAAACTAACCTTCCCTTCTTTCTTGGCTTCTAACTAACTGTTATACAGGGTAGCCCATCGAAAACGTACCGCAAGGCATTACAGGGTAGTAATGAACTTTTCGGCAAAATCCAAAAACAGGTAAAGTTTGCTTCTGAGGGGGACAACTTTTGGCGCAAAAAGCATAGCAAAATCTTCAACCCCCTAAGTGGGGGTGCCATCCCCCAAATTTTTTTAAATGGGAATGGGGGTCAAGTGGGGGGTCATTAGAAAGGGCTTTTAATTCTCTATACATCGATTCTTACTTTTTGAAAATCGATCCATTATTTTAGAAAATATGCAGCTTTGAAAATACGAACAATATTTTTGACGAGAAATGCGAAAATCGATTTAATTTTACTTCAAAACTTACGGTATTAGCTTGGTAAATTCCTTCAAAAGAATTCGCTGTTTTTTTTCTGATTTGCGAATTCTTTAGCCTGATTTTGGTGAGCAAAAAATTGTCCGCTTTTTGTTTCGTATTTAGATAGGCCACAAGAAGTTGCTAGATAACTGTCTTGTGACTTGTAGTTGAAGAGTACCAATACTGCCGAGTCTTTTAAATTGATTAATTATGGTGTACTCAATTCCAGAAAGAGTAGAAATTATTGAGCTTTTTTTCAAAAACAATGAATGCGGAAATCGGGTCGCCGAACTGTTCAACCAACGGCATCCTGAGAAACATGCGTCTGGAAAAATTGTTCGCGAATTGGTGGCCAAATTTCGCGAAACTGGCTCCGTTCATAACAAAAAGAGGCAGGTTGAAAATCCGGTACTAAATGAACCTACGGAAATAGCGGTATTGGGGCAAGTGGCAATGGATAGTACGCTGAGTACAATGCAATTGGCTACTGCGACAGGAGTGAGTCGTACAAGTGTCCAACGAATATTAAAAAAATACAAATTCCATCCTTATAAGATTCGGCTAGTGCAAGAGCTAAATGAAGACGATTTTGATCGTCGTTTGCAATTTTGCGAAATAATGACTGAACGAGCGATAAACGATAATTTCCTCTTTAATGTGTGTTTTTCGGACGAGTGTACGTTCTTCTTGAATGGTTTAGTGAATCGCCATAATTGTCGTTACTGGGCTGATACCAATCCAAGGATTTTCCATGAGACACACTCCCAACACCCCCAGAAGTTGAATGTATGGGCAGGTATTTTTGGAAATTCCATTGTAGGTCCTTTTTTCCTTCCTGGAAATTTGACAGGCGATATGTACTTGGATTTACTACAAAATGTCATCGACCCAGCTCTAACAAATATCATAGAGGACGACCCTGCTTACAATGAACACGAACTGATTTTCCAGCAAGACGGAGCTCCTCCACATTACTCGCTCAATGTGCGCAATTACCTAAATGAGACGTTTCCAGGACGCTGGATAGGACGAAGAGGTGCAATTGAGTGGCCCCCTCGGTCACCCGACTTAAATCCTTTAGATTTCTTTCTCTGGGGGCACATTAAAAGCAAAGTTTACAGCACTCCACCTGATACCTTGGAAGATCTGCGAGGACGAATCATTAATGTATGTCGCGAAGTAACACCGCAAGTGCTCCAGAATGTTCGACAACGGTTTGAAGACAACCTGTATCATTGTATGCAAGTTGGCGGACAACATTTTCAGCATTTACTTGACTAATACCGTAAGTTTTGAAGTAAAATTAAATCGATTTTCGCATTTCTCGTCAAAAATATTGTTCGTATTTTCAAAGCTGCATATTTTCTAAAATAATGAATCGATTTTCAAAAAGTAAGAATCGATGTATAGAGAATTAAAAGCCCTTTCTAATGACCCACATTCCCATTTGAAAAAATTTAGGGGATAGCACCTCTACTTAGGGGGTTGAAGATTTTGGTATGCTTTTTGAGCCAAAAGTTGTCCCCCTCAGAAACAAATTTGACCTAATTTTGGATTTTGCCGAAA